TAAATCCACAATCACACCAACAGCACACCAACATCAAAACCTCATCCCCACAGTAAAACATGGCGGAGGGAGCATCATGGTTTGGGGCTGCTTTGCTGTCTCAGGGCCTGGACGGATTGTTGTCATTGATGGGAAAATGAATTCCAGAGTTTATCAAGACATTTTGCAGGAAAACGTACGACCATCTGTCCACCAACTGAAGCTCCTCAGAGGATGGGTGATGCAACTGGACAATGACCCAAAGCAAACAAGTAATTCAACAAAACAATGGCTGCAACAGCACAGAATATGCCTTTCTTTAGTGGCCCAGTCAGAGTCCTGACCTCAACCCGATTGAAATGCTGTGGCATGACCTTAAGAGAGCGATTCACACCAGACATCCCAAGAATATTGCTACACTGAAACAGTTTTGTGAAGAGGAGTGGTCCAAAATTACTCCAGATCGTTGTGCAGGTCTGATCTGCAACTACAGGAAATGTTTGGTTGAGGTTATTGCTGCCAGAGGAGGGTCAACAAGTTATTAAGTCCAAAGGTTCACATACTTTTTCCTCCCTGCACTGTGAATGTTTACATGTTATGTGCAATTAAACCATAGCAACATCTAATGTTTGTGTAGTATTATGTTCAGCAGACTGTGTTCTTCTATTGTTGTGACTTAGATGACATTCAGAGCACATTTTATGCCCAATTCATGCAAAAACTCCACGTAATCCCAAGGGGTTCACATACTTTTTCTTGCAACTGTATGCGTTTTTTGCAGATACGCACTACAGCCCAATTAACATAGTTTCCTATGGAATATGTTCACATCTATGTTTTTTGAGCTGCTGCATATTTGGAAAGGTCAGGGACTTTTTTTAACCACTTCAAGTCTGGACACTTTCACCCCGTCCAGGCCAATTTTAATGAAATAACAAAAACCATGCTCATGGACTGTTCACTAACTGTGGATGAAAGTGTGGAAAATGCGTTCTGCCTGGCTGTGCAGAGTTTAGGGGTACCTAGAAACACAGCGTCTCTCACCATTTTCTTTCATTTTGTTCTGATATCTTTTTCTCATAATCTGAATCCTAAGTATAATTAGACATGTGCGATTCATTTAGGTACAAATCAAAATTCAGACAAAATTTTTGTTAGTTGGAGATTCAGATGTATTCTACTCAGAGAATCACAATAATAACAAATTTCAATGAACCCAAAATAAACTATCTGCTATAGGACTGCCCACAGTAGATTTACTGCTGCAGGGTGGCCCCTGTGCGCAGGATCACGTACAGTATATGTACGTGATTCTGCATTTCCGGATATGGGGCGCGCCGGGTCCTGGATGGTGATTACCCGCCGGCGCCTGGTGATTACAGGCAATCACTGACAGATAGGAGGGCTGCATTGTTTACCAACAGCCCTCCTCCCTGTCAGTTTGAGCACACTGCTCGGGATGGCTGAGCAGAGCCATCCCGATCAGTGTGCTTGCAGTGAAGCACACCCGCCCCCCAGTAAAACACTCCCTACACACAGTTAACCCTTTGATTACCCCTCATGTTAACCCCTTCCTCCCCAGTGCCATTAGTACAGTGTCAGTGCTTTTTTTTAGCACTGATAACTGTATTGGTGTCACTGGGGATGTCAGTGACACCAAGTCAGTTACCCCCAGTGTCAGAATGCCCGCTGTAGTCCCGCATTAATCGCTGCCATTATTAGTATATAAAAAAAAAATTCCAGTATCTATACCACTAATTGTAAACGCTATAACTTTCATGTAAACCAATTAATTTACATGTATTGGGATTTTTTTTTTAGCAAAGACATGTAGCAGAATACATTTTGGCCTAAATTCATGACAAAATTTGATTTTTACATTTTTTTACTGGACATTTTTAATAAATAGCAAAAAGCCCAAAATATTGTTGTTTTTTTTTAAATTATCGGTCTTTTTTTTTTATAGCGCAAAAAATTAAAAACGCACAGACGATAAAATACCACCGAAAGAAAGCTCTATTCTTGGGGAAAAAAAGGACGTAAATTTCATTTGAATGCATCGTTGCATGACCGCGCAATTGTCAGTTAAAATAACACAGCTCTATAACGCAAACCGCTTCTTTAACTGCTTCCTGACTGCCCTATAGCAGAAATACTGCAACAAGGCGTCAAGGGTGCACAAAATCACATATATATACGTGATTTGCACTCCCATGGTTTTCACTTCCCTCCCAGATAGTGTCAGATTGCCCGTCTACTGACACGCTCAAACTCAATAAACCTCCATTGCTAGTGTATTGTCTGAACAGATCAATATCTTTGATCAGATCAGCACTATACCAGCGTTCACATTAGTATAGTGTCCCCAAAATCACAGCATTAGTGGGATCAGCCCCGGCACCTGCCAGAACCTGCGTTTAGCCCCTACACTTACCCCCCCCCTTCTCTCCCCAGCAAGTGCAATGTCAGTAGGTCATTGTCACTTGATACGTTGCACACAAAACCGCAGTGCTCGCAGAATCAGGCTTATCTCTGTTAGCACTTGCCGGTAAATTTTGATGACTCTCATATGCAGCAGAGTGCCAGTACTAGTACCACTCTAACTTTTGGTGAACTGGCAATCACCAGCGGCCTAGTACACATCCTGGTCTTTCACATACCAGCACTGCAGTATGACTTGGTGACGTGGCAAGTCCCATAAGTGCAGTACAAGCTGGTACGGTGGCGAGCACAAGTATTGTCCCGCAACCACCAAGAATTCGCACACAGGCCTGTAGAGCCCCTAGTATCCTTCCGGATGTGCTTGCAAATCCCTATTGGCAGCCCACAAATTCTGCAGCACCCGTACTTCCCCCATTCACTGCCCAAACCAGAATTCAGGTGGAAACAGCAAATATAACTACTTCCCTTGATTCTTTTTGGAGCTGCTTTTCATGGAAGATCTTTTTGGAGCTGCTTTTCATGGAAGATCTGTATGCATTGATTGTGGATTTATATGCACAACCCAAATTCAAACCTTGCCGGACCATTCGCATGGAAACCCATAACGGTTTCCGAATATAAAGTTTTTTTGGGCCTAACCCTCAACATGGGCATTACTAAAAAAAATGATCTGATTGCAGTTGTATTGGTCCACAGACCTGATTGATCATATGCCCGTGTTCTCTGCTGCAATGGCCAGGCATAGAGTGAGAGTATAATGTGTTCTATGCATTTCAACTACAATACACTCTGTCCTTCTCGGGGTGACCCTGAATTTGACTGGCTCCACAAAATGCGGCCCCTCCTAAATCACCTTAACCAAAAATTTTCAGATGTCTATACTCCCCAGCAAATCTGCATTGATGAGTCCCTCATTAATTTTTCTGGTCGCCTTGCATTCAAACAATTTCTCCCTAGCAAGTGTGCCAGATATGGGGTCAAGATGTATGTCAGGAATGGACTTCCAATAATGGTGGGACTCACCTGCCTTGTGGGCTGCAGTACCAGGGCTGGCCAGCGGGTGCTCTCAGCAATCAGAGACTCACCCCTGCAATCAGCCAAACACCTAAAGCTGATTGCAGGGGTTGTATTTAAGGAATGGCCAGACTCACAGTCAGGGCCTTGGTGTGTGTTTTTCCATGGGTCCTTGTACCTTGCATCCTTTATTTCCTGTTCCTGTCTGACTTGTTGCCGACCCTGCCTGATCCTGACCTCTGCTGACTTCTCCTGCTTGATCCCTGGCTTGTGACACTGACCATTCTCTGCCCGACCCTCTGTACTGCGCTGCCCGTGAGTTACTGAACCCAGCTTGTGACCCCGACCACTCTCCCGCCTGTTCCTGGTACTCCGTTTGCCCGTTTGCTACTGACCCGGCCTGCCTGACTACTCTTTGTATTGTATGTATTGTTATCGGTGGGTGGTTTGGTTTGGTTTGTTTGCACTGTTTTTATGCTTAGTTTGCACTGCATTTTGTATTGTATGGTCTTAATAAATTATATTGTTTATACCATATCTGAAGCCTGCGTTTCCCTGTGTCAGTCCACACACCTCTGGTCATACCTGGAGCCCTGACATTACACCAAGGCCAATCCTGACCAGAAGTGGCTGCACAGGGAAGCCATCTTGGCTTATTGTGGCTGGGTAGGATGGATCTTGATGAGGTGGTGTATTTATCTCTGCTAGTGTTTGATGACAAAGACTATGCTTATCAGACTCTGAAGGAGTATCCCAGGGATCAACTACTAGAGTGCATAAGGATTGCTCATTGCCTAGTAGACCAGGGCACAGAGTTTTCTGATGTGCAGCCATTGATCCAGGTTTGTGCTGAGTTGGCTCGGTCCTGTACCCCTGAAAGCAGGAATTACTTTTTTCCCCCATTTAGTGTGGATCAAGTGGAATCACTGGTATGGTTGTTGGAGGATGATCCAGATTGCTTCCATGAGCATTATGCAGCTTGTCCATCACATGTGCTTTTGGATTGCATAAACGCAGTGCAGTCTTTGGTCAGACAGGCTATGTGTAAGCTGAGTTTTGTTCAACCAGTACTGCATACATGGACAGATTTGTTGCACCCAGCCTCAGTCAGCTTGCAACATCATTCCTCTGCTCAAGGCACTCTTCCTGCATCCCCGACAGCACCCCCAGTGACGGCCCAGTATACTCTGCTAACTACCACATACCAGTCCCCTGCTCCCACTCACTGCACCTATCCTTTCTTTAACCCTGTAAAGAAGTCCTCTGTAGCAACTGCTCCCTCTTCTGTTCCATCCTCCAGCTCTTCTCTGTCTTTAGCTGCTCCATTCGTTTACAGACCTGCGTTTACTTACAGTGCTCCAGTAACTAAAACCAGAAAAAAAGCGAAAATTCTTTCCAACCAGTACCATCCCGCCAGTATCCAAACCGGTCAGCCTGCCGTCTGAGAACCCGCCTTCTGTGGTTCAGCCTGGTGCCTCGGCACCCGCAATTCAGCCTGATGTCTCTACCCAGCCTGATGTCTGTACCCAGCCTGATGAACTGATCCAGCCTAATGATCCTATCATGCCAGATGACTCGGAGCCCGCTGTCTTGTTTGATGACCCGATGCCCGCTGTCTTGCCAGATGACTCGGTGCCCGCTGTCGAGCCAGATGACCTGATGCCTGGTGACCCGATGCCCGCTGTCGTGCCTGATGACTCGGTGCCCACTGTCTTGCCAGATGACTCGGTGCCTGCTGTCGAGCCAGATGACCTGATGCCTGGTGACCCGATGCCCGCTGTCGAGCCAGACGATCCAATGCCTGGTTTCCCAGTGCCCGCTGTCATGCCTGGTGACCCGATACCCGCTGTCGTGCCTGATGACCCGATGCCTGCTGTCGAGCCAGACGATCTAATGCCTGATGACCCGGTACCCGCTGTCGAGCCAGATGACCTGATGCCAGATGACCCGATGCCCGTTGTCGAGCCAGATGACCCGATGCCTGATGACCCAGTGCCCGCTGTCGTGCCAGTTGATTCGGAGTCCGCTGTCGTGCCGGTTTACTCAGAGCTCGCTGTCGTGCCTGGTGACTCGGGGCCCGCTGTCTTGCCAGATGACTCGGAGCCCGCTGTCTTGCCAGATGACTCGGGGCCTGCGGTCTTGCCAGATGACTCGGGGCCCGCGGTCTTGCCAGATGACTCGGTGCCCGCGGTCTTGCCAGATGACTCGGTGCCCGCGGTCTTGTCAGATGACTCGGTGCCTGCGGTCTTGCCAGATGACCCGGTGCCTACCGCTCCGCCTGGGGGCCCGGTGCCTGCTGCTCTGCCTGGGGGCCTTGGTGCCTGCCGCCCCGCCTGGTGGCCCGCTGCTCCGCCTGGTGATCCGGTGTTCAGCCTGATGTGCCTCTGTCCGGTGCCCAGCCCGATGTGCCTCTGTCCGGTGCCCAGCCCGATGTTCCTCTGTCCGGTGCCCAGCCCGATGTGCCAGTCTTTGATATATCCTGCCAGTTACCGGTCCCGGGCGGTGGAACATTTTGCCCAGCTAGGACTGTTTGGAGCGTCCTGAGGCCTGGTACTGTCAGGAATGGACTTGCCAATAATGGTGGGACTCACCTGCCTTGTGGGCTGCAGTACCAGGGCTGGCCAGCGGGTGCTCTCAGAAATCAGAGACTCACCCCTGCAATCAGCCAAACACCTGAAGCTGATTGCAGGGGTTGTATTTAAGGGAATGGCCAGACTCACAGTCAGGGCCTTGTTGTGTGTTTTTCCATGGGCCCTTGTACCTTGTATCCTGTATAAAAAAAAAATAAAGAACATAGTATATATACCCAACAAGGACCAGCAACGTACTGCTACATCACTGGACTTTAAATGGTTATACCAGGATGATGCCTACAGCTGCAGTCATCATCCTGGTATTGTTTTTGTCAGCTCACTATTGGCTTTCATGTAAAAGCAATCCCGTCCCGTGCCATCGGGGGAACCTGAGAATACAGCCGTTGTTTCTTCCAGCTGACCGTAGAGCTGATTGGAGACCAGAATGGTGTCAACCATCTCTATAGTCTAAGAAATCGGAAGCTACAAGCATTTCCTCACTTCAGTTTCGCAGGACATAAACAGCACCATTTGTAAATTGGAAAGCATCTGATCACACCAATCTTGGTAAGATTAGATAATGTAAGGGCAGAGGAGATATCCAGAGTCTGATAGACCCCAGATTACTCAAAAAAGAATGCCCATTGAAGTTGTAGAGGATATTTGCATTCCCTGTGATAGCATTAAAAGTGATAAAAAAAAAATGAAAGGGACAGTATAAAAATAAATTTAAAAAATGTAAATAAAAAAAAAAACCAAAAAAAACAAAGCACGCATGACCCCCTGCGCACCTGTGTGCTCGAGCGTTGTCTCTACGCTGTAAACAGCGGTTGCACCATCCATGTGTGGTATCGCTGCGAACGTCAGATCAAGGGCAGTAATTCTAGCACTAGAACTCCTCTGTAAATCTAAAATGGTACTTGTAAATGCTTTTAAAGCGTTGTCTATGGATATTAAAAATATATGTAAGTGTATTTTTTTTTTTCAAAAAATTTGTGTTTGAAAAATTGCTGCACGAGTACTATGTGACATAAAAAATTTCAGCTCCCACCATTTTATTCACTAGGGTGTCTGCTTTAAAAAAATATATAATGTTTGGGGGTTCAAAGTAATTTCCTAGCAAAAAATACAGGTTTATTTCATGTGAACAAAAAGTGTCAGAAAAGGCTTGGTCTTCAGGTGGTTATGATGAGTGAGTGATGTGTGGTATAAACTTCTAATGCTGGGCATAAAACGCCCCCACCCCCTAAAACAACCCCTTTTTGGAAAGAAGACACCCCAAACTATTTGCTGAGAGGCATTTTGAGTCAATAGAAGAATTTATTTTTTTAACACAAGTTTTTGGAAAATGACAAAAAATGTAATTTTGTTTTTTACATAAAATTGTCACATAAATGATTTATTGCTCACACATGCCATGGGTATATGTGGAATTACTCCCCAAATACATTCTGTTACTTCTCCTGAGTATGGGGGTACCACATATGAGACTTTTTGACATTCTAGCCATGTACAGGACCCCAAAATCCAATAAGCACCTTCAGGCTTTTAAAGGGCTTTATTTCCTCATTACACTTCCTGACTATCACAGTTTCGGAGGCCCTGAAATGCCAGGATAGCACCAAACCCCCCCCCCCCCCCCCATTACCCTTTTTGGAAAGTAGACACCCCAAGGAATTTGATTAGAAACATGGTGAGTATTTGTCAGATTTCGTTTGTTGCCACAAGTTTTTGGAAAATGAAGAAAGAAAACAAAAACATATTTTTTCTTTTGTTTTTTTTATATTTCAAAACCTTGTGAGAAAAAATGAGATCTGCAAAATACTCTCCATGTGTCTTTTTAAATTCCTTGGGGTGTCTAATATCCAAAAAGGGGTCATTTGAGGGGGGGGGGGGGGGGGTTGGTGCTATCCTGGCATTTTAGGGTCCCTGAAACGGTGAAAGGTAGTGAGGAAGTGAAATGAGGAAGTTGCGCATCTTCAGGCTTTCAAAGTGGTCATTGGATTTCAGGCTCCTGTATGTGGCTAGGTTCCCAAAAAGTCTCACACATGTGGTATCCCCATATTCAGTAGAAGTAGCAGAATGTATTTTGGGGTGTAATTCCACATATATCCATGGCTTGTGTAAGCAATATATCATTAAATGACAACTTTGTGTAAAAAAAATCAGGAGCGTGGTGATGATGTCATACAACGAAACTTGTAGAGTGGGGCTTGATAGCGCTACACTTGTCCTCTGAGAAGGAATTGCTTTTTGCTGAGATTTAAAGTGCCATACACGTGTTTTTTATGTAAGTGTAATTTTAAATGTTTTTTACCTAATAAATACTGTCTTACGCTATGGAAGTTTCCCTTTGATGTTTTTACGGTGTTGGAGGAGTACTGTGGAGGTTCTGGCGAAGTTTTGTCGCAAACAATTGATCTAGAGGTTTTTCCACTATGGAGTCTGTCATCAGCATATAGAGATGTCAGGACCACACAGCGACCAACTTTCCTGCAGGAGAGCGCTGCAACATCTCATGCGATATTTGACCTACCAATTCCAGGTGGTCAATTATCTGTGGTGAGTGGGGCTCTGGAGGGGGAGCACTAATTGGAGCACTACGCACAGAGAATTGCTATGGATAAGAAGATTTACTACTATGACACACCATATGTGGATGGGGGTTTCTTTGGGGTTTTTTTGGAACTTTAAGTTTTCTTGGAACTTTTATATGCTTGCACAATTATTGGGACTTTAATATATATATATTGTTTTACACAATTTCACTGTATACACAGTTTCATGGCATTGTATATGTGCTATTTTTAGCACTATTGTCGTTTAAGCACCTTGTATTTACTTATTGGTTTATTTGGGATTTAGTCACTGGGGAGGAGGGATATACAGTCAGGTCCATAAATATTGGGACATCGACACAATTCTAACATTTTTGGCTCTATACACCACCACAATGGATTTGAAATGAAACAAACAAGATGTGCTTTAACTGCAGACTGTCAGCTTTAATTTGAAGGTATTTACATCCAAATCAGGTGAACGGTGTACGAATTACAACAGTTTGCATATGTGCCTCCCACTTGTTAAGGGACCAAAAGTAATGGGACAATTGGCTTCTCAGCTGTTCCATGGCCAGGTGTGTGTTATTCCCTCATTATCCCAATTACAATGAGCAGATAAAAGGTCCAGAGTTCATTTCAAGTGTGCTATTTGCATTTGGAATCTGTTGCTGTCAACTCTCAAGATGAGATCCAAAGAGCTGTCAATATCAGTGAAGCAAGCCATCCTTAGGCTGGAAAAAACAAAACAAATCCATCAGAGAGATAGCAAAAACATTAGGCGTGGCCAAAACAACTGTTTGGAACATTCTTAAAAATAAGGAACGCACCGGTGAGCTCAGCAACACCAAAAGACCCGGAAGACCACGGAAAACAACTGGTGGATGAGCGAAGAATTCTTTCCCTGGTGAAGAAAACACCCTTCACAACAGTTGGCCTGATCAAGAACACTCTCCAGGAGGTAGGTGTATGTGTGTCAAAGTCAACAATCAAGAGAAGACTTCACCAGAGTGAATACAGAGGATTCACCACAAGATGGAAACCATTGGTGAGCCTCAAAAACAGGAAGACCAGATTAGAGTTTGCCAAACGACATCTAAAAAAGCCTTCACAGTTCTGGAACAACATCGATGGACAGATGAGACCAAGATCAACTTGTACCAGAGTGATGGGAAGAGAAGAGTATGGAGAAGGAAAGGAACTGCTCATGATCCTAAGTATACCACCTCATCAGTGAAGCATGGTGGTGGTAGTGTCATGGCGTGGGCATGTATGGCTGCCAATGGAACTGGTTCTCTTGTATTTATTGATGATGTGACTGCTGACAGAAGCAGCAGGGATGAATTCTGAAGTGTTTTCGGGCAATATTATCTGCTCATATTCAGCCAAGTGCTTCAGAACTCATTGGACGCCGCTTCACAGTGCAGATGGACAATGACCCAAAGCATACTGCAAAAGCAACCAAAGAGTTTATTAAGGGAAAGAAGTGGAATGTTATGCAACGGCCAAGTCAATCACCTGACCTGAATCCGATTGAGCATGCATTTCACTTGCTGAAGACAAAACTGAAGGGAAAATGCCCCAAGAACAAGCAGGAACTGAAGACAGTTGCAGTAGAGGCCTGGCAGAACATCACCAGGGATGAAACCCAGTGTCTGGTGATGTCTATGCGTTCCAGACTTCAGGCTGTAATTGACTGCAAAGGATTTGCAACCAAGTATTAAAAAGTGAAAGTTTGATTTATGATTATTATTCTTTCCCATTACTTTTGGTCCCTTAACAAGTGGGAGGCACATATGCAAACTGTTGTAATTCCTACACCGTTCACCTGATTTGGATGTAAATACCCTCAAATTAAAGCTGACAGTCTGCAGTTAAAGCACATCTTGTTCATTTCATTTCAAATCC